AACATCTCATCTCATCATACTCATAACATCATTGAGAACGTAATATGAAGCTCTTAAAATTATTTAAAATTTGAAATAAAGTCAGCACAGTAAGAATGTGTCTACAACTTCTCTTCATTCACCTTTTTCAATCTCGTTTCTGTTTTTTGCTTTTAAAAATTACATGTGAAGCATGAAGAGTAAGTAAATGAAGTTAAAATTAGATACACTCGAAATTTACAAATCATTTTGTGCGGAAGAAGAACACAAAAAGTTGTAATGAGGAGAAAAAATTGATTTGCAAATACCGAAGTATTTCCATACGAGAAGATTTCATTTTTTTAGAAGACACAATTTTTTCCGCATTTTTATTCGCAAAGTTTTTTGGATTTCTATTTTATTTATGTATTCATCAACAAAATCTTTTAAGAGTTTATGGTTGGAAGAAGAAATGCTCGCATTTTATCGATTCAGCAGTTGGAGTAAATTGTTTCCGCTATTTGTGTTTGGAGAAAAATTTGCGAATTCTTTAAAAAAAGTTGTTTATTTCTCTTTTAGTTTTATATTGTTGAATATTTTTATTATGGCTTGAAAGTGCTTTAATATCTTTTAATTTTTTAATGTTTTGAGTTTACATTAAATTGGGTCACAACATCTGGACCACAAATTGAAGCAAAAATTTGTGATTCAAAAATATAATAAGAATCAACAAATGCCATTGAATAGCTAGTGACACCGTCAGAGGCGAATTTGATGAATAAATTTCAAATATCAAGTGCTGATCAAAATAATCAATAAGGCCCAATTCATCAATACGTAACAATTTAATTCTGCATCTTTGCTGAGTTTCAGAGTAGAAAATTTTAACTTCTATACAGCGACAGACTGATTCTTGATTTGGTCCAGATAACATCAATTAATCAAACCCAATCAAACATCGAATTAGAATGTCCAAAAATCTGTGCTAAGGATACAAATGGAGCTGTAACGATCCCAATCAATACTTGCCTTTTACGTGATGGTATGCGAGATACAACTGCTACATTTTAATTTCAAAGCTTTGCTAACATTCGAGAAAAATATGTCCTAGAAGATCTTTAATGATTCAAGGAAGTAATGGCAATCCGAAAAGCACATAAAAAACAATCGAGACCATTGTTGCCCTTTTTATTCTTAGAAATACTGAATATATTACATAAAAATGAATAAGATCAATCATTCTGTGGGCAAGTAATCAAACTATTACATTCTCCAGGAACAATTTTAAATTTATCAATATTTAGACTTTTGCAGTGACAAAAAAGGGGTTTTGATGGGACAAACAAGATCAAAAAATATCCAATCCTGAACTGTAAAGCCAAGAACTCTTCTCTTTATTAAAGAGTAATATCAAAAATCGCTCAAAAAAGGTTTGCGCTTTACGCTCCTGCATCCAAGGCTCCTAATTAGTTCATTTCCCTCCTTACTACATCCTTGAATTAAGATAGCCACGTGTCGATACAAAATCGATTTTTGCAAATTTTTGAAGGATTATTTCCTTAATAAGCCATTCATCAGAGAAATTAATTTGAAATATGATATCAAATGGTGTAGATTTACATCACTTACATAACACCATTAATTTCTTTCTCACAAACTGACAAAACCGAGAGATTACGATGCTATGACATTGTAACACTACCCAATCTGTATTTTGAAGAGATTTTTCAATTAATTTCAATAATTCGTCCATCGCTGATTTGTTTAAAGCTGAGACTAATTCATTGAAAAGGATTTACTCAGGCAAATTTATGGTTGTGCCTTTGCCAAAAAGCTTTGAATTTTCCGCTGTCGATTTCCTAATGTATTTTTAAAACGAGGGTAAATAAATCACTTTATCGGTTTCCACTGAACTTAACACCCGAAAATTCGCATTTTGAAAGACAACTTACAAGATTGGTGGTGATTCAGGATTTGCTAAGTTATTTATGGGTGAAAAAGGCTGGACAGAAGAAATGTAACGATATCGAAAGGCAAATAGATTAGGACATTGTATGCTGTGCATGTAAAATAACTGACTCATGCTTCCGTGCCTCACAAATATGACAAATCCGTTAGCACATCAGACTATCTTCACCAGGAAACAGAATAAATTAATAATTAAAAACTCACACGAAACTCTAATCATAAAAATTTCAAATGCACGTGCAATGGCTACAAACTTTTTTTTTGGTACCTCTAGTGTGAATCTAAATTGAATGATGAGGATGAAAATTATATTTTTTTTTTCTTAAATAACTGAAATTCAATTAAACTTAATTTGTACAGCATTTTATATTCAAGGCACGTTCCTGACATCATGCATCATCAAATTTAAAAAGAAAGTTTTCATGAAGCATACTTGAATGGTCAATAGAATCATTTTGTTCACGAAAAATTTAAAGATATATTCGGGATGCTGTTACTTCTATTGTCGGTGCTTTCAAATTGAACAAGAAAGAGGCATTTTGTATCTTAAGTAAAGGACTCGAAAGGGATTGTTGACATTTTATTTCTTTATAAATTATTCTTTTGAAAATAAAACACGGTTCCTTGATTTTCTGTTGATTGAGTTTTCTGTAAGTGCTTTGTTTAAATTCCTACCTGACCCAACAACATTTTTTGTTTGGTATAATGTGAACGGCAGGGAGTGTTCTTAGGGCAGATTAAATAGTATATTTAGTGATACTTTAAAGAACCTAGCAATGAGACAAAACGAAATACAGGAATTCGGCGTTACTGTAGTCTTGATCTTCTATCGGACTATAAACCTGAACATAGATGATGATGATGATGAAGTTGAAAAGTATTTCAGATATTTAACTAAGTAAGATATAGTAAGGGACCGTTCACTTATTACGTTCGCATTTTAGGGGGGAGGGGGGGTTTGAAAAATTGTAACAAAATGTAACATAGGGGGGGGGGGGGGTCAAGAAGTATGTAACGTTCTAACTGTCGCCTGTCTTAATTCAGGCCTTTTTAATGATAAAATAAATTATGAACGTGGGGGGTGGGTGGGGGGGGGGGGGGGGTTGGAGGGGGGTTGTGAGTTGTAACATCTTGTAACAAAGAAGGGAGGGGGGGGTGAAAAAAGTCGTTTTTTTGCGTAACGTAATAAGTGGGCCGTTCACTAAGCTGTGTTGAAAGAGCAGAACAACGAACCCGCCAGGTTAGTGCCACATTGGAGTGTAAACGACATAACGGAAAAATACAAAAAAAAAAACTAAATTATCTGCAGTATGTAGCACGGGTAACGTTATTTTTAGATATCATAAGTCATCATAAGGAACATCTCTATTCAAGAGAATCAATCCAACGACTGATTCTCAATTGTGGATATGATTAGCATTAACAATTTTTTTAATCTAAATTGATACATCATTAGAGTATAATATCATAATTCTAAATTAGAATATGACTTATTACTTCCAATATGAAGAGCAACGAGTTATAGAGAAACAGTAAGAAGCATCTTATTTACCTTATTCAGAACTTACCCTATAAATCCTAAAACAACAAAATAGCAGCAGCAGCATCATATCAAAATGCTAAAAAACAAATAGAAGAAGCAAAGCACGTCTCCAGCAAAAGATATTATTCATCACGTGAAGAAGCTTGAAACTGAAAAGTAGAGGAATAACAAAAACACACAAGATAGAGAAAAAAAAGTTCAATTTTAATAAAACTTTTTTATTTGAAATTTTGAAATGACATTTAAATGCCAGGCCATTTATAATATAAATGGATTAAGGAACAAAAAAAAGTTTAAATGACAAAATGATGATACCTGATGATTTTGATGAAATAAAATGAAAATATTGTAATAAATAATATAAATATGTACTTATAGATAAACTCATGGAAAATATGAGGGCATTTTCCAACATAAATTGTTATAAAAGTTTGACCAGCAAACAAAGTTTATTTATTTTTCTTTAAATTTAGTATTTTTATGCGCTTGATAAGTTATTCGTTTGAAAAGTTTTTTAATTTAAAAAATATTTGCGTATTTATTACATGCTAAATTAGGTTCATTGGTCTATTTTTTTTGGAATATATATTTGTGCTATAATTTTCCCAACGTATTACAATTTTTAATAACATCTAATAGTCATAATAAAGTCAATCAATTATTATTGTGTCATTCGTTAGAGAATCGAATTTCTCGGCTGCAATTAATACAATATGAAACTAATGATTCTTAATTCAGCCAATCTTTTTGGTCCTTGAATTTGAAACTAGATAAAATAATAAAAGCAATTTCAACTCAAACCTTAAAAATAAGAATGAGAATAACGTGCTAGTATATCAAGTCTGAAGCACGTTATAGGTTTAAATTCGAAGTTCAACAATTATTAAAATTTTTATTCATTTTTCAAAACTACAAACAAAAACAGAATTAATGTCAAAACCAAAAATTTATTTATTTCTTCTGCAGTGACCTAAAACAGATCAGTGAATCTCAAACTGGATGCCGCGGCATTCACGTTTATCTTAACTCCTTTTCTACTCAAAGTTAAGTTAAAACAGATTATTTCTTGAGCATTTAAAGGGCAGCCATTTCTTCAAAATGACTGATTGCAAACCAAAAAGCTTCAGAAGACTGTCTTAAAAATTCTGAAAATTCCTCATTTTGTCCATATTTTAATTTTTTTGAGTAATTCTAAGAATGTGGCTATATGGGTTGGATTTTGGAAACAATCCTAGTGATCTAAAGAACATTTTTCAATTTATAAAGAGGTGTACCACTTCAGTCCCTGATTACGTTCTTGGTTCCAGCTCTGTTTTAATTAGTAGTGCTACCAAATCAAATTGATGAGTTAAATTGAATGTCTTCATTCTTGAATTCTTTGTCAAAAATCTCTTTAACTGCAACATCAACCTCGAAACACAACCCATTCATGGCTTTACATGATAAATAAACAAACATAAATCTCTACATTAATGCAAAAAGTATTTTCAACCCGTAAGAAAAGATAAAATCGTCGAGAAAAAAAAGTTTCCTAACAAGAATTTCCATTTTTACAACAAGTTTCCTCTTTTTCTTTAATCTCAACCCAATGCTGCCGATTTTCTGTTATCGTTTCAAGGAATTGCGATGTCTCGGGAAATATTTGCACAAATATCTCATATGTTGGCTTTACAACCGCATCAAGAAATTCAATTTGAAGCGCTGGGACGTTTGCCTTCTTCCTGTCAAACATTAAATTTGGTGACATTCCCATTTGCTTCTCGAGATCGCCTTGCGTGAAGAATTCCGTATAGACTAGCTCTGCAACACGATAGACAGTTGTCCACTTTTTTATTTGGTCATTTAAGTCACAGCATGTAATAAGTAATGAAAGGAGCATTCGTTGATGATTTTGTATGTTATCCGGATTAAGTTTCTTTAAATCCTTGGAAATTCTAAAGTGATTAGCTAAATCAGTTGCGAGTATCAATTCCCTCAAAATATCTATTGATTCCATAAAATTTTCCGTTGACAATGAATCGAGAATTTTACTTCCAGGATCATTTAGAATGCAAATTGCTTGGGATAAATGATGACGTTCATTAATGCTTCCTTCTGACGAATACAGTCGAGCAAGCATACTGCCACTTTGCGTCATGTATGAGTTATTAAAACCACGATGATCTAAATCGTGACATAAACATGATATGAGGAATGAAAGTCCTTGCAATTTTGTTATGATTCCTCGTTCAATTAACTTTAAATTTTTCATGCATGCATAAGAGAAATGTGTAACGGAGAATGCATGCTGCCAATTATGGTACGGCATATTTCGATAACCTTTTTGGACTAGCATGACAAATCTTGCGAGTTTCTCTTCTGGCATTTTAAAGTCTACAATAAAGTTTAAATCCATAAACATTTTTATGCATAAATACACTGAACTATGATCATCAACATCACGGGGACAAAAGTCAAAGCTTTCAAAGTTTGGAAAATTCTCAATGACAGTCGCTAATGTTGAACGATTAAGACAGTTTGCTACATCTAATTCTGGTACTTTCATGTGATAAAGTAGCAATTCCTGTGAGAGCTTATATCTCGCTTCTGCTTTCTGAACACGTTTGTGTACCAATGAATGCATTATGCTAATACCACAATAGACTGAAAATGCTGTTGCAGTCTCTTCGTCACACTTATCGAAATGAAATCCGTCTATCTTATTGCATAGTTGAGCAACACCAATGACTCGTTCCTCATCACATATTGGAAAACATAAGATATTGCGAGTTTTAAAGCCAGTTTGTTCGTCGATGCCTTTATAAAATAAAGGATGATGATATGCATTGTGAATATTTAATAATTTGCCTGTCTGTGCAACATGCCCTGCAATGCCTTGTGTGCCACTTATGCGAACCTCTTTCGATTGCTTTATTTGTTGTGTTATTGCCGTACCATCAAATACTTTTGAGACTAATTCACCTGTATCTTTGTCTATTAAAAATAATGAACATCTTTCTGCCTTGGCGAGCTCTCGAGCCTCAGCCATAACTCCACGTAAAAGCTGTCCGAGATCACCAATCTTACTAAGTAAACGACGTGCCACTTGAAGTAAATTCTGACATTGAAATCGTACCCTTTTCTCCTCATAAAGCTCAAATGCTGTCAACAAGTGACCAAGAACATAACTTTTTGTGGTGGTTGTTGTTGTGGAGTAATTACGTTGTAAATGGATAGGAAGAAGAAATAATGGAGTAAAGAAGTAGCATTCGGCAAGTTAATAAAAAAAAAGACTTTAGTAAATATTGAGGAGATAATTACCGAAATGTATGTTGGACATAAAATTCAAACTTTTCCCTTTGCGAGCTATCGCCAGCAATACACACGAAAAGCGCATTAGACGATTTTATGGACTGATGGGAATTGCTGCCTTTGACATCAAAAATTAAAGTGTTGTGCTCCTTTCCGACAACCTGTTAAGGTAAAAAAGAAATAAAATAAATAAAATGAATTTTTTTTACGTAACGAAATGGGAATTAAATATATCACAACAGACTGCGTCATGTCTATTGCAGGTTTTATTTTTTGTGCCATTAAAATGTGTACTGTATCGTGCAATGAGATTACTTTTTTTAACGTGTATAAAAACAGGAATTAAGGATATCAAGTTTATAGGGGTTTTGAGAAATAGGATCGTTCATCAATTACGTCTGGACTTTAACTATGGATTTTGTCAACAAAAAACACCTCAAATCCAATATTTTTAATAGACGTAACTTATGAATCGTTCCCACAAAAACCCCATCAAGAATATTACATTCTTAAAGCTAACAGCATCAAGAGTTTCAAAAGTTTCAGATTACAGCAATCGTGTCTTATTTGTGTTAGGAAATCAATAAACTCGCATGCCGTGCCAAATCTTGTTGATTAATTGTTCATAATTTTGATGTGATTTAATTACGGAATATTAATTTCTCAAGAAATTATTTAAATTGATATCAAGAATGACGTTGATTAGCTCAATTATATTCCTTACATGTGAAATCCATTCAAGTATTTGTCAACGATTCTCAAGAGCTATTGTTTGTTATAATGTAACAATCACAACACATATAATGAATTCAATATTTTTCACACGTGGTTCGTAAGAAGTTTTGTTACAAGTAGAAGACTAAAGTATTAGAGGAAGTAGGATAAGTTAAGAAGAGAGGTATACTAGGCGCCTTTTTAGATTTATTATTTAAGAATCGTTGGTTTCTAATGCAAGCTTGGGCATGGTACCATAAAGTTCCATTTGGTTCTTAAATATAATTGAGCTTTAACCTGTGCAGTCCTAGATTTGATTACCTGTCCAAATCTGATGATAAACCCAAAAGTTTATAATTTTTATATTACATGCTAAGTGAACAATCCAATCCTCAAGAAGTAATAGAAAGAAGTAAAACAACAAGAAGCATAGGTCATCAGTTGACACGTTCAGCATAACATAGTGAGAAATGCATACGATAACAATGTGTCAGTCTGAAATGTCTCAAGCACAGAATGACAAAGATTAAGAGCGTGAAAAGGAATGTACATGTGGAAACAAAATATCAAAATGGACAATCAGAGTAAATATATTTCACTCTCGCTGTATTATGTATTATCATTGCTATCGTATCAGAATCACTTCTTTTGTTTGGCATCTCATGTAACAGAAAAAAGAATTCTATTCTTTTCATTCTTTATTTCCCTTTTTTTTCTTTAGCTTGTGATTTGTGTTCAAACATTTGAGATGGTAAACGACACAAAAATTGCCTCTAAGCTCTCCTTCACTCGCTTCCAATGACAGAAAAATCAACAAGCGTGTATATGTAATGTGATAAAATTTTCATCTTAAATTGGAATCCTTTCATATGTAGTCAATGTGGCTGTCTGTATCTATTCTCAATTTATTTATGATAATTTTACATCATAAGAATTGATAAGAATATTTTCCACTTCGCTAAAGATTACTCGCAACCTAATTTCTAATGTCATATGATATTTGAATCAATTAAGTATATCCAAACTTATCTAAAGGTAAATTAATTGAAAATCATTTATCATTACATTTCAATTAAGAAGGAGATTAATTATTTTTTGATAAATCTAAGCTCATATAAGAAACGTAAAGGTATGAGGGAATGTGGGGAGTTGTAGGGAAATAGCGTCACAATATAAGGAGCATGAATTTTACAATGATTTTGACAAAAATTTCTTATTAAAGTAGTTTTGAGGTCCAAAATACAAATTTTAAGCAACATACGAATAACCCCCAAGACTTGCGTCATAATTCATATCAATATTCTTTGTTATTTTATAAAGCAACAAAATTTGTCCTAGAGCTAGGGTGACCATCTGCGTAGTTTTACAACGGACAGTCCTGTATTTCAAACCCTGTCCTGTATAAATTTGAAAATTTTGTTCCAGGTCCTGTATTTTTTTCACGAAAATTTCCGTTAATTTTCAAATTTTCCTTTGTGTCCTGTATTTTTTGGGAAATTTATCAAATGTCCTGTATTTTCATAAAAATTAGATGGTCACCCTACCTAGAGCTAGACACGCTTGCTGTAATAAGCTCTGGTTAATTAATGTATGCAGTAAATTTATCATGGCATGTATTTTAAGATTATTTTGAGAATGTTCACGTATGAATATTCTATTGGGATTATATCTGGATAGCATGGATGAACCTTTTAACCACTAGAATAGATTGCGCCTTTTATATTTTTTTTTACAGATTATATTCTTTAGGTTTCATTTTAATTGATAGATTGAAATATTAATGAATTTTCTTAATTATTCCTAGAAACATGCTTAAAATTTATAAGAAATGTTCTTCTTACTTCCATTGAAATGGGACTCTTAATTAATCTTGACAAAATTCCATTGCTGACTGATTTGGGGCAGTGATACTCAAACGATGTTCCATGATACACCAGCATAAACCAAAAAGTATGAATTTACACATGGATTGTACAATTTTGTTTTAGCTCCCTTCACCGTTTGAAAAATTTAGGTAGCAAAAGCATTAACAAGATTTTCGACCATCTTTGTTTTATTAAATCATTAAAACAGATTACATTGTTCATTCATGGATCGCCAAGCAACAGGAAAATTCACGTGATAATTTTTGACACTTAATTATCTTTTGTAATAAACATCAAGGTCTTCATTTGCTAAATCATTTCATTAGTCTGTGTCACTATTGACAACATTCAATTATTTCGGCATCTCCTCAAAATTTGAAATTCATGAATTGTGAGTTACTAATAGCAGCTGATTAATGCTAATGAAACAACAATTCGTAAAGTTCAATAAATGTCAAGATGAACCGAGATTCTTATGTTTTATAATGAAAATATCTTGAGGAATTCTGAGAATTTTCATATTATTTAAAATATCTTGCAATAAAAAATTTTAATATGAATCAGCAGTTAATATGCATATCCTCACATAAGAACATTCCATCCAAGCTTTAGCATATTCAAAAGAAAGCAATCAAAGACTGAATAAATATTTGACATTTTTCTAGTTATGTCAGCATCAGAAGGATTTTCTCAAATCTCCAAATCTCCTTTCAATTTCAATTCTTATCTTCTTTCCTTTTTCATTTGTTCATTGATTCTTTAAGGATTGATCCCATGCAATGTATGCGAATTTACATTTACAGAAAGATTTAATAATGCAAACAAAAGACATTTTTTGACTCTGATCCGACACAATCTCAAGATAGAAATTGGAAATAGAATTTAAAGATTATATGAGTGAATCCCTATTGTTCTTACTTAAACAATTGAAATCTCTTAAAGTGAACTTTGAATTTTGATCGATAATATGGAAGATTTGGCATTCTATACGAATCAGAGTTCTGGTTCAACCTTTATAATTTCGGACCAAACTTAAGAAATTTCAAAGAATTTCCTTCTAGCTTTGTTTTGATTTTGATTGTCAAAATAGCTCAGATTTGAAGAGATTTAAACTTTTTTCAAAAATCGCTTGTCAAAATATAAAGTTGTCCGGAAGAATGAAGGAATGGAATCATTCTCCTAGTTCAATCTTTATTTTCCAATGCTAAATGATGCTCTTAGACATACAAAGTAGTACTTATTCTTCTGTAAATCGACTAATGTTATCAACAATAAACACACATGTTCTTCAAAACGTTCTGCAATGTCTGGCAAATATCTCATCAAATAAATAAAGAAAAAAAACCACAACGTCTAACCTACCTACATGTGTAGTTATTCAAATATTATAATACTTTCATGTTACGTCAACAATACTCTTCGTTTGTTCCTATATAAAATGTTATATGTGTATCAAAGAGCAAAAGTATAACGAACGTGCTATATCCAACATGCAGAAGCGAGACGAATAAAAAGTTCAGCTAACATATCTAAATAAATGTCTTAATGACGTATATGTGGGCCAGTTGATAAGATTACGTATAAATTCACATGAGAAAAAAAAAACCAAAAATAAAGAGAAGTCTTGATTTAAAGAATAGATGTGTGGTTATTCATATTGTTAAATAACAGAAGTGGAACAGCATGACAATCCCTTATCAAGTGGAAATACATAACCTGCTCGCTACCGTATAAAGTAAATCAATTTTCTGTTCTATTGTTATCTCTTACGAGACACACAATGTATTTCATGCTATGTTAGTTTGCTGAAGAAGGAAAATTCATTTAGAGGAAACAAGGTGAACTAGATAAGAATTTTCCTTCATTAGATGGCTGAAGCGCAACTTTTTTTGAGGGCCGTGTCAAATTGATAATTTTGTTATACATGATGTGGAAATTCGAAAAGCTTTAAAGAGGAGTTGCATGCATGTTTTTGGGATTTCTTATGTATTTTAATTTGTTCCGAAGACTATAGCTTTTGATGTCATGATTTAATAATTGCAAAGTCAAGAAGAATCTGATAAAGCATCCCGTCTTGTGCAGGCATGTGAATTTGACATGAATACTTTTAGTAGTAATCAAGCCATCAGTCTATTTAAAGGAATAAGTGCGAGGCTCTTATTTAAAGGTTGGAGGGTCAAATGTTCTAAATGCAATCAAGTAAAAGCTAAGGATAACATACTATTAAGTTGTATGCTTATTTTCAGTATTGCATTGAGTTCCTAAACCCCTAGCTACACGCTCTATTCCATGTTTTCACTTTCAAACATCTCTGCTCCTTCAGTTAAAATCATTCTTAAATTCACAAAAGCTTTTAATTAATCTCAAGCCAAAACAATTACATATCCTTTAAGAGTCTTCATCCAAAAACATAAACAAAATTGCGTATTGTTTTTCAACAAGTTAAAAAAAATACTTCCGTGGGGGTTGAATTGTTCTTTATCTTATCAAATAGTCTTCTTCTTATTTCCTTTGCGTTTGAGTTGTTAAACATTTTACTTAAAGCATCATTTAAAGAATGACTGCTTCAAGATATAAAATTTTCCATCAATGACGCTATAACAACAGGTTGTGCAAAAACACGAGTATGGTAAAGGAATACGTCTATATAACCTCAAAGGATTCAAATTTCATGTGCATTCTTTAGATATCTGCAGTGCATCCGTACAAGAGAAATACGGAAGGAAATACTTCAAGCGTAAGCATGCTTTTGAGAGTTGAAAAAATTTGCATTTACTGACATTTTTCAGGCAATCTGAGTTGAGTGAAAATAATATGTACATCAAAATGGTAAAAAGGTTAAAATGCTGGGAATGATGTCAGCTGCAGTGTTCAACAGAAAATTTTAAAGTTTAAAATAAATATTAAATTATAAAGCTTTATAGCGTCACAAGATACGATAAAAATTATTTTTTGTCCTGTTATCATTTTATACGCTCACTTTTTTTACAAGTCAGTTCTTATCAGTCAATGATAAAAGACATGAAACTTCTGGCAACAAAATAAGACAAAAATTGAGAATCTTTTCAAGGGCAGCTGACGAAATTACATTAAAATGATAAAGTTGTAGATCATAAAATCTCGAATATCAAGTATCGATATATAGGAAACTAGGAAAAAAGAACTCTAACCCAAAAACATCGAAACTCAATATACGGAAAGAAAATGAGAAGCCAAACAAATTAAAGATTGATTAATTAATCACGGACATATAAAGTGTCGAAAAATTAAGTCAACATAGGCGGCAGCTCTATAAACCATCTTTATCGTTATCACTCATTCTTCTGCTACCGATTCATCGCCAAAATCGAGGCCATCAATCGATTTATTGACTGCTTTTGTCGAATGAAATAAACACGCCGAGAGTTCTCGAAGAGAGAGAGAGAGAGAGAGAGAGAGAGTTATGTGGTGCTGGAAAATGCTCATGTATGAATGCATTTGATTGAAATAGAAAATATTTAGGCAAAGTTTGAGAACAAATTGATCTTAGCAATAGAATACAGAAACTCAATTTTAGCGCTACATAAAATTAGATTAGTTTGGATTAGTTGATGCTAATACCAAACAAGTGCCGAAATAAACAAAACCTTATTTTAACATTATTGGAATCATTCAATGACGTCTAAAGCTAAGATATTAAGTTCTGATAAAATTAACAATTTCTCATGAAAATGTGAAGCAATGCACAATAAAATTACTTATCACTGACTGGAGAAATCAAGAAAGTAGGTCATCAAATAATTAAAATGCATAAAACATGAGCTGTATACTTCAAAAATCCGGATCTTGCTTCATACTCTCAAGAAAATTTTAAAGAAAAGCACACAAAATTCAACAAGTAATTCAATTGGAAAATGGACAGAAAATAAAAGTTTTCGGATGTGTTTGTCACAAATCACGATACTCATTCACATGACTTGTCTATACTATATTTTTTGAAACATCCAGATAAAATAAAGGGGAAGTATAAATCATCGATTTATTTATTAGACTAGTTTTCATATATATAATTTATAAAGGAAGTTAAATTAAGAATGACAGCTCCACTTTCTGTAGAATATCCAATTTTAGTTTTTTTTCTCATGAATATTTTATAGGAAAAAATGTTTTTCCCTTCATATTCCTCATTCTCAATGACGTTAATACTTGAAATAAAAATTGGATTGAAAATAGATATTCGAACATGTTTGCTTAAAAGTATCAGCATTCCTATATTGCTATAGTTGTTTGGAGGTTCTATGTTGGATATATCGTTGAATTTAGGACAGGATATTGATGAGATAATATCAGTTCATGACTTTTTAATATGAATAATATACAAAATTATTTCGAATCTAACTTCCGAAGGTTTGATCGATTTCCCGACCAAAGCAAATCACAAAAAGGCAAATAGAGCTCCTCTAGAGATCCACTCGAATTTCCCACTTCTATTAAACTCTAAAAAATATCGTGTCTCTATTCCTTCCCACATTTTTGGGTTGGTCATGAATGTCAAGAATGTTGAGTGCTTTTAAAGTTCCTTCTATGATTATCATTTGAATTTAGATAGTTGTGTGTCATGTGTGTGAAATGGATAGTCATCCGATGTGGTAAGACAAACAATTTTATCGGAAGAGATACTCGTTTTAAATGGGAATTGTTTGGATATAATGAAGTTCTGATGGTCTGAGAAGGCAACACCATGTGGCTTACAAATGGTGATTTAAGACGGTCTGTTCATTTACTATACTTCCTTAACAGCTCCCTAGCATTTTCTTGAGATTGAAATTTGTGGAGACGTTCCTCAAGAAGAGTGAAACTCTGAAGGAGAATTAAACATTATTAAATGTTGACGTTATGGAACTTTCATATGTCCCATTAGCACTATATACTGTAGATATAAATTTATTAAAACATGCTGTTCGCTGAATTACTGAACCCCAGATGTTATGATAATAGTTAAAAGATATCTGCGGTTTTCCTTAATCTACAATAAAGTAGCAAACCAACATATGTGAAAATGTTTTGTTACCGAGCTGAACGTTTTAAAAGCGTGACTCACACGTCATCAAAAATTATAAAATAAATGATTCACAATCAATGTTTTATAAAGCTTACTGTTGTCATGACATAAAGTACATTCTGATTATGAAATTGATTCTCTCGTCACCACAGTTGGTAAAAAGAAATAAGTCACAAAGTGACAATAATTGAAAAGCATGAAATATTTTTCATATTTTAAACAGGAAGACTTTTTGAGCATAGCTCCTCATCAATATTGAATTTTCGATGAAATAGAAATGACTCAAAATATTTCCTGTATTTGCATTTTCTGACTTTTCTATGTCAATATTGGTAAATATTCATGACTACGAAAAGTCGTCATTAAAGTACGTCAATTTCCTGAAAGATATTTTCGGGTCATACGCAAATGATGACTGATTTTAAGAGGATATGAACACAGTGTAACGCCACAATTTTATGGAGGTGATACCGAAATTCTACTTCAAAAGAGCAACTAAACTTAACTTTTTATAAAACATTCACCTTCATCCTGTACATTTTAAAGCCATTCTCAGTGTGTAAAAACTACAGCACATAAATAAGCTCCGTAGACAATTTATTTTATTACCAAAAAGTCATTCTCACTTTATAAAGAATTTATTAAAACAGCAACAAAAACATTGTAGAGCCATTAAATCAAGACAAAGCCAAAAAAATCACACAACATTTTATTGAGCGCAAAAAGTGCTAAAAATCACATCAATTAAAATGGCGCGATAAATGATTGATGATGAAAAGAGTGAAAAGAAGGCTGTCATGTCAAAAACATTTATAAAGAAGTCTTAAAGCACTTAATAGAAGTGATGTTATGAACTTCAGTGAAATTCAGTTAAATCCAAGTGTTTTGAAAATGGAGGAGACATTAAACTTTAAAGAGGAGAACGAGAACGTGCTTAATTGTCATTGGAAACTTTTTTAGTTCCATAAATGAAGAAGAACTAACAGCTTTACAAGACCTCATTAAAAATTATGGAATAAAATAAGAAATGAGAATGCAAAAGACATTATAAAGAAGGAGGGGCGTATCTCGCGGTGTTTCTTGAGAAGCTTCCTCTTTAAAAATTCAGGTTTTATCCTTGTAAAGTAGACACAACTACATCTCTGCATGATAGGTATGATTTATCTCACATAACACTTAAAATTAATCTTGTCATCACTTACCATCTCAATAACTTCCGAGAAGCTCTTATTTAAGTCAGTTACTTTAAATGGATGATCATTTGATTCACATGATGAATTCTCTATGTCCGAGGTGTTTACCTGTGGATATACAATGAAAAAGTAATGAATTTTAAAATAAAGTCACAGCAATAATAATGTATAGCTGGTAAAATTAATGTAGGCAGAACCAAATGTGAGTCATAAAATTGAAATATTTTCAACCTTTATATCGATGAATAAGTATGCACATTAAATCAGTGACCAAAGGTTTTGATTACAAATTTCATTAGCAAAATATCAATTCATTGTCGCTCGATTTACATACTTCATTAGTCTCAATATTATATGACATTTATTCAATATAAGCAAATTGTGACAAATGATTATTCAGCATGTGGATAAATCATTCAATCAATTTTGGCTCCAGCAGATACGCAATATATTTACATTTTCAACATTTTTTTTCCCTCACACTCAGTCTCTCATCTACCATCGACTTTTTGGCACGCAGTGATGCGTAAGAGCTTTATTTACGTTTAAAATCTCTTTTCATAAGAATGAAGATAAACTGAAGAGAACATCGACCGATTTTTAAAGCATAGCATTCGTGATTTTATTTTTTTTTTCGCTCTGTCACTTATTTTTAAACAGTTGCAATAATTGGGATGTTCAGATTGACTGGATGACTTATTTATTTAATAGTAGATTGAACAACTCGCTAGGTAAGTGACCTTAAGACCTTAATCACAAAAAATTGAGAAGTTTTGCTTGAAAACTCTTCAATTGAAGATTATTAAAATAAAATTTTAAGGATTTCAACGTTTTACTAAAGCAATTGCTTGAGATAGGCTGTGTTTGTGTTTAGAACGATCCAATACAGTATACAGGGGGGTCCTTGATTTGAGTAGGTGTTTTGTTCCAAAAAAATCCTATTCAAATCAAATCTACTCAAATCGAATTATTTACTTTTTGTATGAAAAATGTCCGTTACAAAAAAATATTTTAAATTTTCTATTCATTAATTCTCGTTACTCAAATCGAATCTATTCAAATCGAGGACCCATAGTATTCTAATAAAGAACTTCTAGCTACGCAAAAATCTGAGTGCAATTACAAAAAAACTCATAAATGCGTTCTAATCTCTTCTATTCAGATCCTCTAAAACAATTATTTAAACATTCGGCATTAAAAAGACACTTCTATAAAAACAATCAATAGAAATTTAAGCTATCAAATCTTCCATTAAAAACGCACACATGAGAGATTTAATATTGCTTCTCTTTACAAATGCTATTGACAAGCCAGACGAAGACTGGCGTAAATTTACTTGTGAGGGGAAAAATAAGGAAAAAGCATTTCAAATGAAATGAAATGAAAAGATAGAAAAAAATAAGAAAGTGAAGAAAAGAGAAAAAAAATTATTTTTATGTAAACATTTCGGTGCGTTTGTTTTTATTTCAACTTGAAAACGGTCAAGGGCGAATAACGCAAGTAAGCTATAGAAAGTAATACATGAGAGTCTAGAAAAGGTTTAGATTGCATGTTTGAAGCTGTGCCAGATTAATTTGAATAATAACAAGAGAGCAAATAATAATTTCCATTCAAACTCAACACGATCTAAAAATAAAGATAAAGAAAAAGATCTCATAATCAGCTTAACAGAGTTATTAAGATTAGAAACATTTCTCGTTTTTATCTCGAGCAGTGGTGTTCAAATCATTCTCGTTGGAACATTGGTTATGTTTTGATTATTTTCTATGTTTCATGTTGTGTTCTGTGGTGAAAGAAATTCGGTTCCCAAAAATATAATTTTTTCGCTGTTGTGCGGAAACGAAAAAAACTTTTCAAGGAAGAAGAAAAAATAAAATTTGAGTGGGATTATGAATTATGGTACTTATAGCTCTCATCTCTAAAAATTTTCCGGATATTTTAAATTTAATTTCATAAACAGACAAAAAGAAGATTTTTATTTTTTGAATGGGGTAATTTAAAATATTTGTAGCATTTGCAATTTACGTTCTCAATTCTGATCGACTTCTAATGAGATTATTAATAAAACTGTGTTTCAATCCATTGAGTGCTCTTTCACTTTTGTACTCATCCAACTCGATGTTTAGGTGAATGAACTTTTATAATTTATTATTAATAATTTTTTAATCATAAACTCATGCAGACAGTTGGGTCAGACAAACATACTCATACTCATAACATTATCTCAATTTTATTCAAAAATCACAACAACGATGTGAAGAATTTAAAGTCATATAGCATACGGTGTTCCCAAAAATAAATATAATCAACATATCAGGCAAACAAATCAAAAGATAACAGAGTTATGACACTTAATTTTGATATACCACAACATATAGTTCAAACAAGTCAAGCGCTTGATGTTCTGAATTATGTTTTTTTTTCAACTCCCAAAAATCGTTGCTTTTATTGGGAAACTATCCCAAATATCCCATTTATCCCATATATCCCAAAAATATTCAAAATAATCCCTGAGCCTGTATGCATTAGAATTGAGATGTCCCATCATATCCTGAAATTACACGTCCAATACACTAAGGATACGTTGGGATATCCCAATTCTAATGCATACAGGCTCAGGGATTATTTTGAATATATTTGGGATATATGGGATAAATGGGATATTTGGGATAGTTTTCACGCCTTGGTAATTTTTATGTATCCGAATTTACAACTCATTTTATAATTCCTAATTAACACATACGATTTTTACACGTCTAATATCAATATGTAACTTGTAGCTGTTGTTAAATCATAAAAAATTCAGTGTTTATAATATTCAGCATAAAAAAGGAGTAAATAATAACTCAACAATCATTGTTTAATCTACCGATTCTTTTTTATCAGCTCGCAAAAATTCACAGAACAAAGGAGGGAAAATAATGTTTATTGCTTTACGACATCTGTTTCCTAAGGAAACATACATAAAGAGAATATATGGAAATCAAATGAAGTCGTCTCAAACAAATGACTAATGTGCACACACAAATGATGTATGAACATGTCTTATGTATATTTATCTTGATAAGTCATCAGAACTTCAAAGTATCTGATATGAATCTTGTACTTTTCTAAGTATTTAAAACTCTTATCTATAGAGATCACAATTTGTATTTCACAATTCATTCAGAAAATTTCCTACTTTAATTTTTTTAGATAAAGTAGTTTTTAATTTTCCAAGCAGCTGGTAATCTGTGTAAAACTTGAAAGGCTAGTCACTGATGAAAGTTTAATTAGATTTTGATCTACATTAGAATCAAAAGATCTGATCAATATTTGAAAAGCTTAACTTTGCATTCTACCATTTTTCAAGTTACTTCAGATAACTTAGTGATAAGATAATGCGATCAATAGTTTGAATAATTTGGGTTATGATTTTAATTCGCGAGAAGTTGTTTAGAAGCTTATGAGCTTCTATAGGAGTTACCATATTAAAATAATAATATACACTTGTCTTAGTAATCTATTATTGGGAGTTCTAGTATGGAAAAGGCTAGAAATGCGGTGACTTAACAAATAATTTCAAAATTCAATATTCAATCAAAAAGGAATAATTCGAAAATTTTGAAAGACAATTACAAAAAATCCTCGATTAAATCTTCGAGAGTTAATATTAATGTGAGAGCGTTCCATCCAAGCGATGTATTACTACTCGTTGTAACGAGCTGGAAGCTATCATTATCGTTGATAGAATGTATTTACCGTCCCTAGCGAGACTAACGAGCAAATTTCTAGTCTTTCTATTCTACTACTTGCAATTTACTAGTTATTATTCAAACAACTTACTGTTAGTAAATTACACTTGCTATTTACTAGCAACTTACAAGCAAATTACCATGCGAAATGTTTGATCAAATCTGATTAAGTTCGAACCCTCCGAAAAATCATCAAAAAAGAATTTTTTGCGTCATAAAAAATTTCGTTCTAAATTTGGCATTTGCGATATACTTCACAAGAGCGCGCAGAAATCACCTTTCTACGGTCGATCCAAATTTGTATGTGACTTTGAATTAATTATTTATCTTCCTCAGGTTTGCGTGCGAGTCATGAGGGTTCATCAGTTTTCGACTTAATTAAACTAAGTCTTTTATTTTTTTCATAGTGTTAAAGTACTTTAATTTACTTTACTAAGCGCACACTAATACTTTTACAATAATTTACACAAATAAGAAAAATCAAAAGAACACGTGGAAATCAACGGTTATATTCATTTAAATTTTTTACAAATTCGCTAGTAAATTACCAGTTAAATTGTAAGCGAATTGACTAGTAAATTAGCAAGTGGAAATGCGGGTCTTTGGCGATGATTTGAACTTGGATATTACTAGTAAATAGCAAGTAGCAAATGGGAAGTTATCCAGTAAATTACTAGTAAATTTCTGCTAGGGCGTCAAGAGTTAATAATCAAACTAAATAATCGAACTACAAAATCTTTATTCAATCTTATTCAATAAAGTTAAGCTTTTCTAATTTCCAGCGAACACCAACATTAGCAAATTCCAACAATCTCTAAACTATCATCAACAGTTCTTATTCATCTACTTATTTTCAATCAAGAGATTCTCAAAAATTTCATGAGATCAACAAAACTTTTTTCTTCATTTCTTTAAAATTTTCTCATTAGATCACATCCACAATCGCTTCATACAATCAACCACAATGTATTCATAAACACATTTGTCTGTGTTAAGAAAATAGCACAAAAAATCACATTTTTCATTCTTTATCATAGATACAAGTACTTTGACTTTCATCTAGAAAAATTATATGTAGATTATGATAAGCGACATTCTTTGCATTTTTAATAATCTTCTCGTTTGTTCTACATTATTATCACATCGTATTCTTTATGCTCTTCTTATCTCAAAATAATAAAATTGATCTCATCTATGGAAAATAATTTGCACGTTTTCGCACTAAAAATTACGGTCAAGTTTTCATAATGATGTAGTTGGAGTCATTCATCAATGACGTCTATCCCTTATTTTTGTGACATTTTATACAAAAGCTTATGGACAATAGAATGGAAGGAGTTCTGAAAATATCATTTTTAAAAGAACGTCATAAAT